CAGAAGCCACGTTTAATGTGAGTTAAGGCAAGAGCTTGCCCTGGGGATTAAGAGGTCAGTTCTCTGGACTTTTTACCACTCATGAAATGAGTGACCTTGCCTCTTTATGTCATTTCCTCTGGCCTCAGCCTCCTCATCTGCAAAATGGGGATAGAACTTGCACCTTCACCTCTGGCCTCATCACATTATTTGAAAAACAAATGAGGGAGTGTGTGAAAGTAGTCTGAAAAGGCAGAAGTGTTGGGCTGATCTAAGGAACTACTATTCATAGAGTTATTCTTTAACCTGGGTTGTGGTAAGGTTTTTTTTGTTCAGCTGCAACACAGTCCAGTGGCTGACAGGGAAGCCCCCTTTTGGATGGGAGACATTTGTCAGGGGCTGCCTGGGAGTCCATGTTGGACAATTCCTCTTTATTTGCAAATGCTTCCTCAGATATCATTGAGGTCAAAAAGCACAGTAAATGTGAAACCTTGTAACGTCCTGAGATAAAAGATTATAACTTAGTGGAGGATGGTACCTCAGAGGCAGCTGCCTAGTTTGGAAAAACAAGCAAATGGTGACTGCAAGTGCTGGGTTTGGGGTCAGAAGGCATGGGCTGTGCTGCTCTATTAGCTGGGCCTGCACCTCACCTGTGCTGAGCCTGTTTATTCTTTGGAAACACAAGGGAGAGATGCATATATGTTAGATCCCAGAGCTCTCTTCCATATATGTAAGATATATATACACACACATACACACACACATACACACACACATACACACACACACACATATATATATCTACAATAGAGTCCATTACCAAAGAAAAAGCACCCCAACACCTCTTTCCATATCCTTGGGAAAGGACACAGATCTGCCGTTACAGATCATTCAGTTATCATGTTCCTTGTACTGATGACTCATGACTGCAAAGCACTGAAGGTATATGGCACTGTAAAATGGTTACTAAAATGGACTGCGCTTCTCTTCAGACTTGTTCACTGAGCCCTTGCAAAGAATATGGATCTTATATTGAAGAGGATAAAAACATCAGATTTGAAAAACAGGATTCTTTTTTCTCTTTTTTTGAGACAGGGTCTCTGTCACCCAGGCTGGAGTGCAGTGGCGCTATCTTAGCTCACTGCAACCTTCGTCTCCCAGGCTCAAGCGATTCTCCTGCCTCAGCCTCCCTAGCAGCTGAGATTACAGATGCTCAGCACCAAGCCTTGCAAATTTTTGTGTTTTTTTGTAGAGATGGGGTTTCACCATGTTGGCCAGGCTGATCTCCAACTCCTGACCTCAGGTGATCCACCCGCCTTGGCTTCCCAAAGTGCTGGGATTACAGGTGTGAGCCACTGCGCCCGGCGTGATTAAACAGGATTCTTATCTCAGTCTTACCTTAACTTTCTGCTTGACACAGATTATAAGTGGGGATGAATTTGTATCAGTTAAAAAAAATTCCTGAACACTACCCAGATCCAGTTAACAGTACATGTTTGTTGAAGAAACAAAGAAAATTGTTTAGCTATACTGAACTTCAATAATTTTTGTTGAACCCAGTGACTGTTTTGGATTCTTTCTATTTCCTAAATTAGTCTCAAGTTATAAGTTAGGAACTGCAGTAGAAACCGTAGAAACCGCATTAATATTTCGAGTTCCTGAACTCTAAATGTCATTTAATAACTGCGCATGCCTACCAAATTCGAAAATAATTTTAACAAGAAAACTCAGGCAACAATTTCATTTTTAGTGGTTTGTTCTAAAAGAATGCATGGATAAGTGTACAACATATATGTAGAGGCTGCTTTTGCTATATTCTTTACAACAAGAAAAGTAGTCAGGGCTTGGGCTACATAAACTTGTTATAGACTTGGTGGGATACATCTAGCCATTAAAAAGATTTTAATATGGAAAAATATTTAGTGCATATTTCAATCTTACATACACACATACACTCCACCTATGCATGCACACGCGATACACTTATACATATATGTTGCACACCTTCATAAATGCATGAGGGGAAGAGTCTAAAAAGAAATCAAACTTTTAATATTGGAATTGAAAATGAAAGGTATTTTACTTTCTACCTTCAAAAATATCTGAATTATTTTCATAATGAACATTTTTGGAAAAAAGTTATTTGTGGAGCTTCACTGTTAACATTAAAGGTGAGCATAAATACTGAGCATAATCACGGGCTCATCAAACCTCTGTAAATTCACATAACACTTCAAGAAAATGATAGCCATAAGTTTAAGAACGTTTTAAGAATGTTTACATATTCTGACCCCGGAATCCTTTTGGAGGAGTGTCACTTAAGTAAATAACTTCAAATCAAGAAAGAGTCATATAAAGAATATTTGGGGGCATGATTTACCATATCAAAAATGGAAACAATTTACATATGTAACCTAAGTGAATGAGGCAGTTACAGTACATCTACACAAATAGAAGCTATGATAAGCTCATAAAAACATGTACCCATAATTATGTGGTAATGTTATGGTGGTAAAAATGTTCTGTGTAATGTGATCATAGCTATATAAATATACATAAGCAAGATTAAAAGTGTGTATGACAGATGGAAATATGCCAACATGTTAATAATAGTTATATTTTGTGTAAGAGTTTGGTTATATTGTTATTGTTATTAATATTTCTGTACTTTTTCTTTAACGATCAGATTCAGTTCTACAATAAAAATTAAAACTACTATTTTTAAGCTATTAGCACAATCACTACCAATATAAAAAACACAGAGCATGTCAGATGACTTAGTAACCATAAAACAAAATTAAATGATGAAGGAAATTTTTAAAACTTTTGCCCTGTAGGAAAATTGGTGATTCCAATGCTGAAACCACTTGAACTAGAGAGTAAATGGCCTTGACCCTTGCCTGAAATATGGCTTTTGGGCTGCGTGTGGTGGCTGACACCTTTATGCCAGCACTTTGGGAGGCCAAGGCAGGTGGATCACTTGAGGTCAGGAGTTCGAGACCAGCCTGACCAACATGGCGAAACCCCCATCTCTACTAAAATTACAAAAAAATTAACCAGGCATGGTGCTGTGCACCTGTAATCCCTGTTACTCAGGAGGCTGATGCAGGAGAATCACTTGAACCCGGGAGTCAAAGGTTGCAGTGAGCCGAGATCACACTACTGCACTTCAGTCTGGGTGACAGAGTGAGACTCTATCTCAAAACAAAACAAAACAAAACAAAACAAAACAAACAAAAAAAAACCAAAAAAAACAAAAAAGGCTTTCACTGAAAAGGCAAGGGTATAGCAGGGCTTCCCAGCCATGATTAAGTGCCACCAATCATTAAAAAAAACCCTAAAAATAACATAAAGCCATTTCTCTTCAAGAAACTTTAAGATGAAAAAATTCAAGAGGAGACATACTTGCGTTTGAATAGGATGGTTCTCTATTCCTTACTTGGCACAAAGTAAGCTCATGTACTAGTATGCAAATGACATCATATTGTTTGTATTCTCCTGTACTTTGCTTTTTAGCTCAAGCAGTATTGTGGAACTACATAATAATTTGTTTAGAGATTCATATGTATGTATCAAAACTAGAAGGAAAACTAAGCAAAAGAAAGGCATAAAGTCTAACGAGTTTAACTTCTGAGCTGGGGAAGCAGAAGCATGGGCAATGAAATTGGGGCTACACACATGGTTGAAAACATTTGAGTACAATTCTGTGTGTTACTAGGTGGCGGATAGACAGGTGTTTACTTATGTTATTTGATATGTCATATGTGACACTATATCTTTCTGTGTCTGTCAGTATTTTATAAATAAAAATGAAAAGCATTTCTTTGTGTTAACAGGTTAAGATTCTGTTAAAAATTGACAGCGAATCAAAAGAAGAAACTTTGCAACCTTGGAGGCCCTCTAGTGCCCAAATCAGATAAGTACAATTAATGTCTTCAATTCTTTTCTATGATTCTCTCAAAATATCATTTGCTTAAAAACAGAAATTAACAGCAAGATGAGGTAGGAATGCTATACGCCCAATTTATTGAAGTTAAGTGGTTCATTTTTACGTCAAATCTTTAAAATGCTGCCATACTGCTCTTCACTCTCTTTGAAGAAATGACCCCAAAGAATGTTTTGATTCTTTAGCAAGAATGTTTCATAAAACATTTCAAAATTTAGATGTACGTATCAAAGAAGAAACAATCCTAAATTGTTGTGCCCGAAGAATATTTTAAATTGGCTTTCTTCCTATATCCTTCCTTTAGATTTTTAGAATTATTATGTGTAATAGCAATGATTTCCTTGCAGAATGTATGGAAGAATCCAGCCCACTGACTCCTTCCTCAGGACGAAGCACGGCTCGACAGCCTTCAAGTTCCTATGTGTAAAAGTGATTCCTCTCGGCCGGGCGCAGTGGTTCATGCCTGTAATCCCAGCACTTTGGGAGGCCGAGGTGGGCGGATCACGAGGTCAGGAGATTGAGACCATCCTGGCTAACACGGTGAAACCCCGTCTCTACTAAAAATACAAAAAATTAGCCGGGCGTGGTGGCGGGCGCCTGTAGTCCCAGCTACTCAGGAGGCTGAGGCAGAAGAATGACGTGAACCCGGGAGGCGGAGCTTGCAGTGAGCGGAGATTGCGCCACTGCACTCCAGAGCCTGGGCAACAGAGCGAGACTCCGTCTCAAAAAAAAAAGTGATTCCTCTCTGTTAGTGATCAGCCGTTTCTCAGATACTTTACAAACATTAGTGATCCCTCCACGATCACCTCGCTTGGTGGCATTTTTTTTCTCACAAGTTTCGGATGAAGAAACTGAAGTCACAGAGATGAAGTGACTTGCTCAAGGGCCCCAAAGTGAGTCAATCTCCAAAATCTCCTTTGTGACAAACCACATTTCTTTTAGGAAGCAGGTATCTTTCTTCTTCAGCTATGTTCAATAAAAAGCCACGTTTAAATTCCTTCATTTATAGTAAAGTCCATCATCATATTTCATTCTCAGTAATAAAACAAGGGAAATAATCATGAATGGAACTCACCGACTTGTGTTTGTATAAAGAGGCTTAGAGCACCGCGGCTTGGCTAGCGATGCGATGTCTCCCAACGGGTTGTCAACATCATCAGCATTTGTAGACTGCACATGACCACTGTTAGAATGGAAAGGAAAGAAGGCATACGTTTCTTTATAAGAAACATAGAAGAAACCATTGAACAGTATTCTAACTTCCAAAGGAAATTTATTTGCCAAAATAGATCAAAGGCTCAAAATGCAAAATGTAAAGCATAACGATAGAGCAATTTTCCTTAAAATATATAAAGATGATTTTCTCTTCTTCAGAATGAGCGGTGCCATGCTCCTTGATGTTAAGTTTGAGCCAGAGTGAGAGTAAGGGCTGTTTTGTGTTTCTGAACAAAGAAGCGGGCTGTTCCTGTAGCCCCAGCACAATTCCTTCTTTGGAGACTGGCTAGAGGTTGGGCAAGGAAGAGGCGGGCGTATGCTGGAGATAATAAGGCTAAGGGTGGATGGAAACCCTCACGGGTGCAGAGGGGCTTAGGCAACAAGCCACGTGCCCTTGGGCCTGAGAGAAAATTGAGTGGCCGAGTTAATGTCAATCAGAGAGAGTTTCAAGGACTTCTGGGGCCACTGGTAGAAATACCAGTCAACTGCAGAGCAGGAGAGGCCGAGTAATGGGAGGGGTTGGGCCAGGACTAAAGGTCCAGATCCCTCCTCCATATTCTTGGATCTACTTTGTTTCAAGGTTTTTCTTCCATTTAAAAACCAAGAGAAGACCCCAACTGGCAGATAATGTACTTTTTTGCCATCTATGGAAAGCTGGCATTAAATGTAGAAAATAAGAGGTGATATTTCCTGCACTTCACTGTTAACGAGCGCCTCATCCCTTCGCAATTAAAACAATTTTCGTGATTCATAACACCCAATAGTGGTAGCATCCAAGGTATTTTATTTCAAAAGGTAACCTATTTGGAAAAACAAAAAAATATCACTCTTTCTTTCTCTCTCTCTCTCTTTCTTTCTTTCATCAAAACCAAACCTCAGATGGGACTTCTGACATTAAACAGGCACTGTGTGCCATGTAAACATTAGAAATGTGTTACAATGCATAAGTTGTCTTAAAAAGTGAATACAACATGAGTAAGCTGAAAGCAACTACAACCAAAATATAAATCTGATTTTTTTTTTGAGATGGAGTTTTGTTCTGTCACCCGGGCTGGAGTGCAGTGGCGCGATCTTGGCTCACTGCAAGCTCCGCCTCCCGGGTTCACACCATTCTCCTGCCTCAGCCTCCTGAGCAGCTGGGACTACAGGCGCTCGCTACCACACCCGGCTAATTTTTTTGTATTTTTAGTAGAGACGGGGTTTCACCGTGTTAGCCAGGATGGTCTCGATCTCCTGAGCTCGTGATCCGCCTCCCAAAGTGCTGGGATTACAGGCGTGAGCCACTGCGCCTGGTCAAATCTAAAATTTTTTTACAAGACTGAGAAACATTACTTACGTGTAGAGAGGAATATATTTACTTCTAGAACTTGAACTCACACTTCAAAAAAAGACAAGAGAGGCAACTGGATTATTTACATTAAGTTAATAAACATCAAATTATTACAGTATTTCTCTAATTAAGATAAAAGCCTTCAAAGATATCTCATAGGAATTGTCCTTTAAAGGTTTGTGATTTTGAACAGAGACTATTTAAGGATGTAGTTTGCTTTCTCCAGAATGTCAAATAAATGGAACCATATAGTAAACTTTTGGGTCTGACTGCTTTCAAAATGTGTTTCAGATTCATTTATATTGTTGTGTATTGCATTTGTTCTTTTTCATTGCTGAGTAGCATTCCATTGTGTGGGCATACTTTAGTATCTTTATCTATTTACCTACTGAAGGGCATCTTGGTTGTTTCTAGGTTTTGGAGATTATGAATCAAGCTGTTATAAACGTTCACATATAGGTTTTTGTGTGGGTTCTTGGAAGGAACATTTACATACAGGAGGCTTCCATTGTGAATAGTATGCTGAAGAATTCTGAGGTGTGGCAGTGCTGACTAACACACATAGCTTTTCATTTGCCAGCTGACTTATAATCAATAAATTAAGTGGATACATGTAAACTGGAATAAAAAAATTATCATCTCCCTGAGCTATTTGCCATTTTACCACATGATATATAATTAAAAATACCAATATACCAATGAAGTTTTAGAACTAACATTCACATGTTAAGAATTAGTACAAAAAAATTACATTTTAAAAAAGGTATTCAAATGGGATTATCATCAATTTCAGCATGCTATATAAACAAGAATCTCTTTTTTTGTTTTTTTGATTTTTTTTTGAGTTGGTGTCTCGCTCTTGTTGCCCAGGTTGGAGTCCAGTGGCGCAATCTTGGCTCACTGCAACCTCCGCCTCCTGGGTTCAAGCGATTCTTCTGCCTCCGCCTCTCGAGTAGCTGTGATTACAGGCACCTGCCACCACATCCAGCTAATTTTTGTATTTTTAGTAGAGACGGGGTTTCACTACGTTGGCCAGGATGGTCTTGATCTCCTGACCTCGTGATCTGCCTGTCTCAGTCTCCCAAAGTGCCGGGATTACAGGTGTGAGCCCATGCACCTGGCCAAGAATCTTAGAATTTTAACTATTTCAATCTTTTATTTAAATGATTACTATTCAATTTACACGTTGGAGTCTATAGCAGGGTATTTTACACATTTGACAAAATCATACTTTAAATAATTTTTATCAAAAATCTTACACATCATTTTTAGATATGGTTCAATAAAATGGTAGTTTTCTGACAAGACTCAACATTCTTCTCCGTACTGTCACTATTTGCATTTCTAGATCCAGCAGTCAGACTTGAGTACAGTATTGTGTATTTCCATTTCATTCTTTTTTCTACCAGTTACCAAAAAAATCCCCTTTAAAGGTCACTTTATACTACTTTTATTGAAGTGGTGCAATTGTTAAAGATTTTAAAAATGATATCCTTGATATTGATTTTTGATAATTAAAATTTAGCAAAAACTCTCATTAGTTTTGCTGTGGACCAATATCTCCTCCATTTTGCTTTAAATTTAATTTGGATTAGGTAAATATAAAGTTAAATATATAAGATTAACCATTCCACTGAGGTGATGATCAAATTGATCATCTAAAAACCAGAAAATCAGATGAAATTCCAGGGAGCAAAAGATAGAATGAATAATTTCTTTCCGGAATAGCATGTGTTTTTTGTAAGTGATGTCTGTCTCTCTCACGCTATTCTTCATAATTGCCCACAGTAGTTATTGAAAAATACATAGTTCCATTTTAAAATTCCATGTGATTCACTTTTATATTTCCTATTCAACTTTATTTTTGCAAAATGCTGATTGTGACTCAGCACTCACAGGCTTTACCCAACAGGCCTACAAATCACTCATTAAACTGTTTAGTAAGATCCTCTCATTAAACTGAACTAGCATAATTGCTTATTTATGTTGGGAAAATGGATCCCTAGCTTTATCATAAGTAAAAATCAAATGCTTTAAAAATAATAAATGTGAAAAGCAAAACTTTGAATGTTTTAGAAAAAAAGTTATAAAAGGAGGATATCTTTATTCTTTCGAGGCAGGGAAACAGTCATTAAAATCTTCACAAAAACAACAAAACCTGAAGAAAAATATTGATGAATTTAGTTACATTAAAATTCAAAACTTCAGATAAGCAAAAATAGAAAAGTCTTAAAATAAAAAAGTCACAGACTAGAAGGGGATACTTTGATGCATATTACCAAGAAAGGATTTTTACCCAGCATATTGAACAGAAAAGTTGTGACAATCAATAAGTAAAAACCCAACAGCAAAAGGGACAAAATATATGAGCAGGCAAGTTACAGATGTGAAAATTCAAACAGGTCATAAACTTGCAAAAACTGATCGTTAGTAATCAAGTAGATGTAAACTAAAATTATAATGGAGCACAATTTGTTATTCATAAGATTGGATTTTTTTTTTTTTTAAATCTGAAAATTCTAAACACTGGCTGTGATGTGCAGTAATGGGAACCCAAGCACTTATAATGGGAAATTCCATTGTTAAAACTCATTTGGAGAAGAACATGGCAATATGTAAAAAGCAGAGAAGTACACATCACATGACCCAACAATTCTAGACATAAATATGAGCATATAAAACTCAGAAATATTTTTACACTTAGGTATGTGAAGGCATGTGGGCACTGTACCAACTATACTAAAAATCAGAAAATTATGAGAATGGATGAATAATTTTTGGCACATCCATTTAAAGGAAGACTCTACAACAATGAAAACAAATGCCTAGAAACACAGATGTCAACAGGTATGAATCTTACAAACACAAATATAAATTTTTGTGTAAATTAAAATAATGTAAAACTAAATAATGTAAAATTAAATAATGTAAATTATTTTATATCAATTTTTGTATCATATAGTTACTTTGTGTTCTATTAATGCTTGAAACTATGACTTTATTAGTATTACTTCCTCATATGTACTTTTTTATATGAACAAAATATAAACTTGCATAAATATATGTATGATACCACTAATACTGGGTTTATAAACAAAGAACACAATTCCATATATTGGTTAACAATAACACATATGTCTTAAAAAATTAAAAGAATGCATGAAAATGTGAACGTCAAATCGAGAATATTAGTCATGCTCCCTGAGGAAGATAGATGTGCTTAGAAAAAAGTACGTAGAAATTTTCCATTGTGTAAGTAATATTTTATTTCTGAAGTTGGGGAGCAGATACACAAACTATATCACATTCTTATACACTTTTGTGTACATAAAATATTCAAAATTGAATACAAAATAAAAACAAAGATGATAACCTGTGTTGTGGGTTGTGTTAAGAACAAAAATGAAGAGACAATATTGTAATGTTTTCGAAGGCAGAAACACCAAGTTTTTTTAGACTAAATGTGAAAATTACATGTAAGGAAGTAGTAGTAATAAAACCATGGTTTCTAACATTAATAGAACACAAAGTAACTATATAATACAAAAATTGATAGAAAATAATGTATAATCTATTTTATATAAAGTCCATGGATTTTAGCGACATTATAATTGCTTATATCAAATTGTTTATAAAGCCCTCCCTATTTTATATTATTTTATTTATTTATTTGACATGGAGTCTCGCTCATTGCCCAGGCTGGAGTTCAGTGGCGTGATCTCAGCTCACTGTAATCTCCACCTCCTGGATCCAAGCGATTCTCCTGCCTCAACCTCCCAAGTAGCTGGGATTATAGGCAGGGTTTCACCATGTTGGTCAAATTCCTGACCTCAGGTAATCCTATGCCTAGGCCTCCAAAAGTGCTGAGATTACAGGCATGAGCCACTGTACCCAGCCTATTTATTTATTTTTAAGGCAGGATCTTGTTGTGTCACCCAGGTTGGAATGCAGTGGTGCAATCATGGCTCAGTGCCGCCTGGAACTTCTGGGCTCAAGGGATCCTCCTGCCTCAGCCTCCCGAGTACTTGGGACTACAGGTGCACCACCATCCCTCTTGGCTAATTAATTTTTATTTTTCTTATTTTTGTAGAGATGGGGTCTTACCATGTCTACAAAAGAGAAATTATAACTCATTTTCAATTACAGACCATCCAGGGTGGTCTCTATCTCCTGGGCTCAAGTAATTCTCCCACCTTGGCTGCCCAAAATGCTCCAATTACAAGCATGAGTCACCGCACTGACTTTTCCAAAATGGTTATGGTACATCCAATATTCTAAATGTTAAGGAGGGTAAAGAGAAAGTAAAGGAAGCAGGCACACTGAGCAATTGTCCTGGGATTTGGGTCATCTTCCCAGCCCTAAGGATGCGAGTCAGGGGGGCCCTGGGTTGGTCTCCATCAGAGAACATACTCCTCACCCACCCATCTAAGCCATGGGCTACAGCACCAGCTTCTTAATTATAATACACGATAATGAAAAACCTAGTGTGAGAACTTCAGGAGATAAAACTTACAAATTAACTGGTTTGACTGGTGCCAAGAAAGATCTTGTTTGAAATCTGTCCCAGAGCTCACCAACCATCTAAAAATAATCATCAAAATCAATGACAGTTAATGAGCACATGATAATTTCTGGTGGATAAGTTCCTGTGCCCTTGACAGTCCTTTCCACATCACAGCCATGTCCCAGGCTCTCTAGGAAACACATTCTTCAAGCTTTCCTAGCACTTCATGGATTCGGTCTGGAGCCACTCATGGTCTTTGCTCTGGTCTCAAACTTCCAATTTCAATTTGTTTTCTCATAGCTGGAATCTGTCTCATTATCCACCTGTTTCAGATCGAAACCCATGTGGAAGGTCTGATTTTAGTTTTCATCCTTAGCTACTGTTCTGACTTGGATCCCCTGTAGCCTACCTTCTGCAAACTCAGGCCAGTCTCCCACTTCCAAACCAGGCTAGATCCTAAGCTTTGAATCTCATCTGGCCCAGGAAGGACTTTGGATGCTAGTAGAATTTAACGCCAAGGAATGTGTAATGAAAGGACCAACTTTCACAGGTATAAAAACATTTTAAAGTAGTTTAGCAATCCTTTAAAATTAGCTAGATGAAACCATATATATTTATCTTTTAATTAACTTTTTCTATGTGAAAATCTCAGGTTTGAGTCTTTATATTAAAGCCATGTTTTCCCCCTTTCATTATCATTTTCCTCTGTAAAAGCTGAATAAATTTTACAAGAAAATATGGGCTTCTTAACCTATCATCAATGGACTTCTTGGGATCTATATTAAGAGCTGTATTTCAATATAATTGATTTTCTTTTTAATCCTATGGATTTTATGTACTCAAAAACTTCATTACAGGAAACAGTCCAAGGGCTTAACAAGACTCCTACGCAGTGAGAAGTGGCACAAAAGGATAAAGGAATCAATGGAAGTAGAAGGTACTTTGCAAGCACAAAGTTGAGACATCTAATCCAGTGTTGGGAGGTCAAAAGTGAGGGCTACAATAAGACCTGAAGAAATTCTTGAGATTCACCTGGCATAAATAGGGAGAGTGAGGAAGGCAGTGGAACACTCTTTGCAAAGCACACAAGCTGGAAAAGAGCATGGCAGACTTGAGACTTGAGAGAAGCTCAACAGAGATAGGACACAGAACAGTGAGGAGTGATGTTTGGCCAATAAAGTGGAACAGTAAGAAGTAACAGTAAGAGAATGGGACAGGGATGAAGCTAAGGAGGGAACCACGGACAAATATTGGAGAATTGGATCTGTGTCATGTCAAGGAGTATGGATTTTTTTTTTTTAATAAAAAGTGATGGGTTTAATCAGTGGAGTAACACAGATTCACACATGAGGAAAAGTTATCTGGCTATGGCATAGATATGATAATTCATGTGATAAATTCTTCTTGATACTCAGAAATGAAAAGAATGAGTGTCACTACTGAAAAGTTGGTATGCTTTGTTTTATCACATAATAAGTGATAACATCAGATAGCAATCTATGGATCTTCTCTTTTTGCCATGAAAAGTACAGAGCTAAGATCCAGATTCTGTGTGAAGAACCATCTTCAGCATAGGTTATCTGGTAAAATTATTTCTGTCTTCTTCATTATTTACTCATTCTCTTGCAATTCTAGAAATAAACACAGTCATTGCAAATGACTTTTGAGAAAGAGGTAGTCTTTATATAATCAATAAAAGTTTTAAATATTGAAAATATCAAAGTATTTGCAGTCATCAATAACTTGTACGATTATGGAAATTTCAGCTCCATACATATGTGTGTGTGCGTGTGTGTGTGTGTGTGTATATATATATATTTACCTATCTTACATAAATTTACTTCCTTATGTATTGTTAACAACAAGATAAGTATTATTTTGACTTAAAGTTTTGGAACTAATTTCAGTAACAATGAGAAATACACTATTGCTCGGAGAAGTCTGCTGACCTGAGTTATTGCTGGCAACCCTTTGTATCTTTTCAGAGTAAAACACTGTGAGATGGGGTCAGCGGCTTTTTCCAATGTTGTTTCTTCTGGAACAAGTTTTGGTGGTAGCATCTTATCCCAAGGAACATCTTCATAAGCTCTATGAAGTTATTAAATAGAAACATCTTATGAAAAGTATATTCAATTGGTAAAGTTTAGAACAATATTATACTGTGATAAGAAGAATCTGAAGATGACGCCGAGGACTCCTGCCTCTTGGTGTGCATACCATATATAATCACCTCCCCTGGACAGTAGGCAGAGGAAGTGATTATGATGAGATAGTACTCCTGTGTTATGTGATTTTATATGCCCCAAGAGATTGGCACATGTAGTAAAGGTCCCTAATCGGTTGAATTTGAGTTAATCAAAAGGTGGGATTGTCCTGAATAGGCCCAATCTAAGCAAGCAAGCTCCAAAAAGAGACACGAAACAGCAACACACGCTCTTTGTCTGCCCTTGAAGAAACAAATATCAGTCCTACAGCCACAATGAATGGAATTCTGTCAACAACCTGAATGATCTTGGAAGATGAGAACCCAGTCTCAGCTGACACCTTGATTCCAGCTTTAGGGAACCCTAAACAGTGAACCCAGTTGGAATATGCCTAGACTTCCGACCTACAGGACTGCCAGATAACAAAAGCTACTAAATTCCTGCAGTCTGTCACACAGAAATAGAAAACTTACATACATCTTACAGTTTCCAAAAAAATGCTCATTTGACCTTCAGAGAATACCATTAATTTACAAATAAACTATGGCTTAGAAAACTGATTTCCTTTGCTTATGGTCAGCTATTGGTCAAAGTCAGGACTCAAATCCACATAATCTGCCTCCTAAGATTCAGCAGCATTCCCAGTATTCCACACTAATGCAGCCAAATTGCACAAGTTTTTTTTAGCGTGGTTGAAGGGCTTCAGCCATCCTATGAAATGCAATTATTTCACACACACACACACACACACACACACACACACACACACACACAAAATATGGGGATCTTCGGAGTTTTGAAAGTTGTTCTTTTTCACAGGCATATATGACAGACACGGTGAAATCAATTCCAATTTGATAGAGTGAAAACCATACAACCCGCATTCTAAAGACTATATTATGACAAGATGGATGGATCCCCAGAACTTCTCCTGCCCTATCCACACTTAGTGCGAAACTTGATCTTTCCATTCTCTGGACAAGGCATACCCTTCCAAAAAATCCCCTGTCAGTCAAGTCATTTTTGAAAGAATTATCAGTGATTCTCACTTCCTCAACACATATTTGTTCAGAGTTGACTATATTTCAAGTCTTGTGCGAGGTGTTTATGATACAAGAGTGAACAAGAACCAATACAAAAATTGTCTCTACCACCTAGGAATGCTGTGAAAATTAAAAAACATAATATTGGGAAAGTTAAATAGATCAGCGATAAGTCCATAGTGTTTTTGTTGTGTGTGAACACATTTTGAACTTACTTATCTTCAAAGTAGTATCATAGAAGTACTAAATATAACAAGATATTTTAAATCATAGCAAAGTCTTAAATGTTTTCTAACATATCTGACTAGCATTGTATGTAAGAAATTAATCGGTGAGCTCAATGAAAACTTAAAAGATACCTCACTGTTTGAGCCTCTGATAAATTTCATAAATATTTTAGGAATTTTCCATGAAGGTAATAAACTTTTCCCTAAGGATACTTTTATATGTTTCAAGATAAACTACTTAATACTCTGATTTGATACTTTGTCTTATAATAAAACTTTTCCATTCTGAGTGAAGTATCATGTCCTTAATCAAAATATTAACTGTTTCTGAGATGATCACAGAAATTTTTAAAATTAAAATCAAGACAAGAATACAATGGGAAATAAACCCAAAAGTGAGAGAGGGATTTAGGGGCCATTTAGTTATCAACCTTCATCTTTAAGATGAGAAAATTGAGACGAAAAAGAATGAAGGATGCCAAAGTCCCACATTCAGCAAGCAGGTATGTTTTGAGCCCTAGAGTTGGATTCAAGATGACTGATGAACAAAGCTTTTTTCTCATGTTGTTCTAATACTTTGAAATCCAACTTCATATCATGTTTTTAAATGTTTTCATAACACCCCTGGGATAGTAGGCATTCATACATGTGTTTCATGACACTATGTTTGGTCATGGGTATACTTTCAATTTGAATGAGAAAAAAAATGAAGTTGAAATGTGAAGCCTGTCTGAAGTGTTCAAAATATGTGAAGAAAAAAGAGTGGGCAGACATGAAGTGCTTTGAGGTCCACACGTGTTGTCATTTTTTTATTCTTTTTGCTGCCTCTCTTTCCCTCTTCATCCATTTCTCTGTGCCATGCCATGTGTTTTGGCCTTCACTCTATCACTCTGCTGAATTCTAAATCCACTAGTAAGCCCCATTATCCATTCTCGGGCCTCATCCCACTTGACCTATTTGCATCATGTGAACTGGCATTCATCACTCCTTCCTGAACACATCCTCAATATGCCTTCCAGGACCTAGACTCTTCATCTTCCTCCTGCCTTACTGGTTGCTCCTTCTCAGTCTCGATTGCTGGCTTTTCCTCTTTCTTTCTCTTTTTTAACGAGGTGCAAGGACTCAGTGCCCTTTGCCTGTCTGACTACACTTCTCCTTTAGTGTTCTCATTCAGTGCCATGGCTTTACATACCTTTCTATAAGCCATGACACCCAGGTTGATTTCTCTAGCCCAGGCCTCTGCCTCAAACTTCAAATCCATATTTCACGCTGCCTACTTGACATATCCATTTGATTGTCTAATAAACATCTTTATACTCAATGTATGTAAAACTGACTTTTCCGCTGCCTTCACCCTGTTACGAAATGGCAACCTCAGTAGATCCAGCTGCATAGTCCAAAGGTTTAGAATCATTTTTGAGTCCTCTTTTTTCCAGATTCATCACAATCAGAAAATTGTGTTGGCTCTACATTCAACATACATCCAGAACTCAACCGTTGCTTACAAATTTTTCTGCCAGCACTCTCCCCCAAGATACCATTATCTCTGTCCTAAATGACAACAATAACCTCCTAACTGGTGTTCCATCTTCTCTCCCCTGCAAAAATCTACTTTGAAAACAGCAGACACCATGATTGCTACCTTCATGTACAAGTCTGATCTTTCCACTTCTCTGCTAAAGCCTCATGTCACTCAGAATGACAGTCCAATTGCTTAAAGTGTCCCACAAGATCTGGTTCCTAGCACTTCTCTGACCTTTCCTTTTGCTACTCCCTCCTCTTACCCTACTATTACCCTACTCCAGGCACCCTGGCCTTTTGTTCTTTCTTAACATCTTAAGCACACTTCTGACCTGGGCTTTTGCTCCATATTCCTTCTTCAGGGAATAGAGTCACTCCAAGTCTCTGCATGGGTGCTCTCTCAACTCCTCCAAATTTCTGCACACCCCTCAGCACCTGGGGAGGCCTCCCCACGCCTCCTACTTATTACTGAAGCCTGCTACCCTGTATATGTGGGACTCCTGATCTTATCCTGTTCTACCTTTTCTTCGCAGACTTACCCGTCACTTTCTAAGATATAGTCTGTTTACTTTCTTAGTGTATTTGCTTATTATTGTCTGTTTCCCTTTTGATATGGTTTGGCTGTGTCCCCACCAAAATCTCACCTTGAATTGTAATAATCCTTACCTGTCTAGGGTGGGGCCAGGTGGAGATAATTGAATCATGGGGGCAGTTTCCCCCATACCGTTCTCGTGGTAGTGAATAAGTCTCATGAGATCTGATGATTTTATAAATGGGAGTTCCCCTGCACAGGCTCTCCTGACTGCCACCGTGTAAGATGTAACTTTGCTCCTCCTTGCCTTCTGCTATGATTGTGAGGCCTCCCCAGCCATGTGGAACTGTGTCAATTAAACCTCTTTGCTTTATAAATTGCCCAGTCTCGGGTATGTCTTTATTAGCATTGTGAAAACAGACCAATATACCTTTATAATGAGAGATCCTGAGAGCAGAGATCTTTGCCTACTCACTGATGTAGCTCATAGTCTAAGACATAGATTCATAATAGGTACTCAATATATTTGTTGATGGAGTCAATGAATTCTCCCCTTTAAACTTTCTCTGTCTTGACTTTCTAGGATGCTGTACTCTTATCCCCCTTTCTCTCTCTTTGACCATTTACTTTCTGTTTTGGTTTTATTCTTCCATCAAGCATAGGTGTGCCTTAAGACTCTTCTTTCAATGTTTATTTTAGCAATCACTGTAAGTAAATGTCTGTGTTTGATGTTCTCTGGGTCACTCATGAGATCCAGAATATTGTAGACATAAAGAGGATGTGTCATGAAGGAAAAAGAAATATATTCCAAAATCAAAATTCCACTGGGAAAACTGCTTACTTTTGTGTAGAGGACTTGTAAAATGAGTCCTTTGCACTGCATTTCTTGTTTGTTTTAACAAGTGGTTCACTTTCATCCTAGAAGGCATGAACAATAAGTTAAAAGAGACCAAATATAAATGGAAATTGCTATTGTTTTCTAGTCATCATGTTTTCTTTTGGGTTCCTCTTTCTTCGTATTTCTTCTTTCACTCACCTCTTGGATTGACCAGATTTAACGCTTCCCTACTTTTCCTCTCCTGTTTAAGGAATTTACATTGTTTTATTGTCATAATCATTAAATTAAAATTCACAAAAAGTATATTAAAGTTAATGGAAAGTGAGAATTTAAGAGAAACCACTTGAATTGGAAATATCTGCAAATACATAGTTTTAGCACAATGTAATTAAAACATTTTTAAAACGTATTGTCTTTTCTTCTAATAACTTAAGGAGATCAGTTATGAGATATTTTTCTCTATCTTCCAGTTATTTTATCAAAATTAATTAACTAATTATTGTTATAATAATTATTATCTTTAATGGTTACTATTTATTTCAATTTTCAATGATATTTTACCAATTCTTTGCCTCCTTTTGCTTTTTTATTGTACTTGTTTTTTCTCCCCTAGCAACTTGGTTCCATTTTGTTTTTGCTGAATTTCAATTTTTGTTAATTCTTTCACAAATGTAAACTTTTTCTAGTTCTATGTTTTAATTCACCCCCAGTTTTGAAAAATGTTCTAACTTGGGTTTAAAATTCTAGTTCAATTCTAGTTATGATCTTTTTAGTAACAAATTTATCTAATTGATTTCAAAGATGTATTGTTGCTTTTAAAATACACTGAGTTTAATTGTTTGCAGGTATTCTGTGTTTCTCCCCTTTGCTTATATTTAGGACACTATCTTTGTCTTGAGATTTTTTACAGATTCAATAGAATTTGTTTAGGAAAGGATGTATTTTTGTTCATCTGGCTTAGGACTTATTATACTTCTTTGATTTAACAATTCATGACTTTCACCAAATATTTCTCCATCTTTATCTATTTACTGTCAATGAATTATAATTATTCTCTTCTTTTAGAATTACTACCAGAAAAATATTGGACTTTTCATCCTGTGGTTCATGTCTCTTAATTTTGCATTGGTTTGTCTCTAATTTCCGTATATACCTTCTATTCTACCACTATTAACTTTCATATTTTTAAAATGTATTTGTGTTGATACATAATAGATATACAGATTTTGGGGGTAAATGTGATGATTTGATACATTCACATACTCTGTAAAAATCAAATCAGACTAATTGGAATATCTATCACCTTAAATATCTATCTTTTCTTTATGCTAGAAACATATGAATATTTCTCCTCTAGTTATTTTGAAATGTGCAACAGATTGTTGTTAACTATAGTCACCCCACTGATATATCAAACGCAGTCTTAATTATTGAATCTAACTGTATATTTGTACCCATTCATCAGCCTCTCTTTATCCCCCCTCCACACTCCCTTTCTTGGCCTCTGGTAACCACCAATCTACTCTCTATCTTCATGAGATCCACCATTTTAGCTTTCATATATCAGTGGGAACAAGCAATATTTGTCTTATGTAGTTGGCTTATTTCATTTAACATAATGACCTCCAGTTCCATCCGTGTTGGTACAAATGACAGAATTTTATTCTCTTTTATGGCTGAATAATATTCCATTGTATGTACATACTACATTTTATCTACCCATTCATCCACTGATGGACACTTAAGTTGAGTCCACATTTTGCCTAATGCGAGTAGAGCAGCAATAAACATGGGAATGCAGATATCTTTCTGATATATTGTTTTCCTCTATTTTGGATATATACTCAGTAGTGGAATCACTGAATCATACAGTATTTCTAGTTTTAGTTTTTTGAGGAACCTTCATACTGTTTTCCATAGTGGGTGTACTAATTTACATTTCTACCAACAGTGAATGAAGGTTTTCCTTTTTCCATATCCTCACCAGCATTTGTTATTCTCTGACTTTTTGATAAAAGACATTTTAACTGGTATGAGATGATATCTCATTGTGGTTTTGATGTGTATTTCTCTGATTGGTGATGTTCAGCATTTTTTTCACCTGCCTGTTGACTATTTTTATATCTTATTCTGAAAAATGTCTATTCATATGTTTTGCCCCTTTTTAATCAGTATATATGTAGCAAAAGATATGAATAGACATTTTCAGGATAAGACATAAGACATACATATATACACACATAGCTATAGAGTTGTGTGAGGTCCTTATATACATTCTGGTTATTAATCCTTTGTCAGATGGGTAGTTTGCAAATATTTTCCCCATTCTGTGAGTAGTCTCTTCACTTTTTTTTTTTTTGCTGTACAGAGCTTTTTAGCTTGATGTAGTCCCATTTTTTCTATTTTTACTTTTGTTGACTGTGCTTTTGAGGTCTTACACAAAATATATTTGACCAGACCAATTTCCTAGATCATTTCCTCAGCTTTTTTTCTAATAGTTTCAGAGCTTCAGATCTTAGACTTAAATCTTCAACCCATTTTGACTTGATTTTTGTGTATGGTGAGAGGTAGGGGTCTAGTTTCATTCTTGTGCTGATGGCTATACAGTTTCCCCAGCACCATTTATGGAAAAGACTGTCCTTTTCCCATTGTGTATTCCTGGAGCCTTTGTTGAAGTTGAATCGGTTGCAATTATGTGTCTTTATATCTGGGTTCCCTAATCTGTTCCATTGGTCTCTGTGTCTGTTTTTATACTAGTACCATGCTGGTTTGGTTACTATAGCTTTGCGGCATATTTTGAAGTCAGGAAGTGTGATGTCTCTAGCTTTCTTATTTTGTACATTATTGCTTTGGCTTTTCCAAGTCTTTTGTGTTTTCATATAAATTTAGTATTTTTTTCTATTCCTATGAAGAATTGACTTTTCTGTTTATGATTTCCTTTTTCACTTTTTTCTACTCCATGTTTAAACCTGTTCATTATATATTTTTAAAAATTCATCAAAGGTATATCTAGCAAAATAATTTTCTCCTGTACTCCGTTAGTATGTTAAATTACATTGATTAATTTTTAATGGTAAGTGAATGTTTGCATTCCTGAGATAAAGTTTACTTGATTATGATATATTTTTTCTATAAATTATTGTTTTTTATTTGCTTTGTAAAGATGTTTGTGTTTGTGTATATGAGAAATATTAATCTATGATTTCCTCTATTTTTTGTAAAATCTTTGTCTGATTTTGTTGTATGAGGTAAAGTTAGACTCCTAAAATTGTTGGAGAAGTACTTCCTCTTTTATTTTCTGAAATAACCTACATAAGATTGGTGGTTGTTTCCTGAATATCTGATAACATTTATCAGTAAAACTATCTAGGCCTGAAGTTTTCACTGTGGTAAGTCTTTTGATTAAAAAAAAAAAAACAGAACTCCATATATAATATATACATATATGCATTTATCATATTCTATTTTATCTAGTATTAATTTTGTTAACTTGTATTTTTAAAGATTTTGTTCATTTTGTCTAAGTGCCAAAAGAACTGGCACACAGAAGTTTGTAATATTTCCTTATCCTTTTTTAGGATCTGTAATATTTTATATTGGTAATATGTATTCTCTTTTGCCTGATCAGACTAACAATAAGTCTATCACTTTTGTTAATGCTTTCAAAGCAAAACCTTTGGGCTTTAAAAAATATTTAATTGAAAAATAAATGTATATATTCAAGGTGTTCAACATGATGATTTGATACATGTATACATTGTGTAATGATTATCACAGTCAAGTTAATTAACACATGTCATCACCCATTGTTATCATTTGTGTGTATGTATGTGTATATGTGGTGAGGATGCCAAAAATCTGTTCTCTTGTCACATTTCAAGTAACAAATACAGTATTATTAACTACAGTCCCCATAGTGTATCTCTGGAACTCATTCATCTTAAAACTGAAAGTTTATACCCTTTGACCAACATCTCTCATTTTCTCCACCTCTCAGCTCCTGTAAACCACCATTCCACTCTTTGCTTCTATAAGCTTGACTTTTTAAGATTCCACATATAAGTAAAATCATGCAATATTTCTGTTTCTGTACCTGGTTTATTTCACTTACAGTGTCCTTCAGGTTCATCCATGTTGTGGTAAATGGCAGGTTCTTTTTCTTTTTATGACTGAATAATATCCTAATATATATATTTATACACACACACACACACAGACACACCATATTTTCTTTATCCATTCATTTGTCTGTGGACACTTAGGTAGGAAATAACTTTTGACTTTTCAAATTTTTTCTCTTGTATTTCACAATTTCCTCCATTTCACAATTTGTATTCATATCATTTTTAAATTTTCTTCCTTCTTAGTTTTGGTTTAATTTAATCATTTTTCTAGTTTCTTTTTTTTGAATTTTTTTTTTTTTTTGAGACCTAGTCTCACTCTGTTGCCCAGGCTGGAGTGCAGTGGTGTGATCTCAGCTCACTGCAATTGGCACCTCCTGGGTTCAAGTGATTCTTGTGCCTCAGCCTCCCAAGTAGCTGGAATTACAGGCGCCCACCACCATGCCTGGGTAATTTTTGTATTTTTAGTAGAGACAGGGTTTCACCATGTTGACCAGGCTGGTCTTGAACTCCCGACCTCAAGTGATCCACTCACCTCAGCCTCCCAAAGTTCTGGGATTACAGGCGTGAGTCACCACACCTAGCCTTTAATTTCTTAATATTGAAACATTATCATTAATTTTAGATCTTTCTTGTCTTCTAAGATAAGCAAATAAAGCTAATTTTTCTTCTTAGCAGAGTTTTAACTGCATTATACAAATTTTGATATGTTTTCTTTTGCAATAAGTTTAAATATTTTCTAATTTATCTTGTGACGACTTCTTTGACCTGTAGTTTATTTAGAAATGTGTTTAATTTTAAAAGAGTTGATATTTTCCTAGATGTCTTATGATCATTGATTTTTAATTTGGCTCTGTGGTGGCTAGAGAACATATGTGGGATGAATTCAATACTTTTAAATGTATTAAGACTTGTTTGTGTTCTCACATATCATCTATAGTAGTAAATATACCATGTGC